TTGTGTGAAAGGTCTCTATGTGCCTAAGACTCCCAAATTACTCATGTGTGTATTTAATATCTTGAATGGAAAGCCTATTGTTGTTGATGATGATGATGATGTTTGAATGCGGAAAAAGAACTTGAATGGTGAAATACGGCCAAGTGCCAAAAATGATTTTATAAATGAGGCTACTCGTGCTAATGTATTGAAAGATGGGAAAGAAATATGAAATGAGATGATAATTAAAATTGTGGATATGGTTGATGTCTCAAATGAGATGGCCTAGCCGATCGGGCTGTGATTGGACGCCATGCCGCACACATGTGGTAATTGTGGTGGAAATAATAATTGAAATTGTGGATATGGTTGATGTCTCAAATGAGATGACCTAGCCGATCGGATCGAGATCGGACTTCGTGTAAGAACACGGTAGTATTGTTGATTGTGGCATATCGATACTAAAGACTTCCCAACCTAATAATAAGGAAATTGATTTGAGAACTTATGTTACCCTTATTTGACGTTTTTGCATGTTTGAAGCTTTTGTTGAACTTATGATATTTTCTTCTTGTATTATTGTTCATTCTAATGAGATGGTGTTTGGTTATACATACTAGTACTATTCGACAGTACTAACGTCCCTTTTGCCGGGGGCGCTACATCTTTAAATGGATGTAGGTGGTTCCATAGCATACAGTGTTGATCGCAGCTAGTGGTGCATCATCATCTTCTTCCCAGCAGACTTGGTGAGCCCCATTTCTTCCTGGGGACATGTAGTGCATCTTATTTATATGTTTGCCACGTTTTGAGGTATAGCCGGGGCCTTGTTGCCGGCGTTGTTATGACTCTCTTTTGTATTTTTAGAGGTTCCGTAGACACTATGTGGGTTGTATATGGGTATTGGAAGGGTCAATGGATTATGTTGTGTTTGGACCCTTGTTTAGTCAAATTGAGAAGTGTATGTCATTTTGAAAAACTTACCAATGACGTAACAATTGAATCGATTTGGAAATGTTTACAAAATCTTCCTGTTGGATAATTAATAAGAACCTGTTTTGTTGATCATAACGAGTTTGGTAAAAAATGTCTAATAGGCTTGCTCAGTCGGGTTCACTCGGTTGAGTGCTGGTCGCGCCTCTCGAGGTTGGGGCGTGACAACAACATTACAGAAATGACCATTTCTTGTGCTCTTTGTGTGACGAAACAAGTGCTTCTACTAAACTCCTATTTGCAAAAACATTGAAGTGACACAAACATTGGAGACACCATACTCTTCCTTTAATTAGATTTTCCATTTCTGATTCAAAAATTTGGTCTGTAATTTTGGAGCAGTTTTTTCCCTGAGTTGGTTGCCCATGAAGGAGGAGCCGAAGTTTCCGTCAGACGTGCCAAATAGTTGTCGGCCGACATCCCTATATGTAGGCGTGTATGCGACAAGCATGTTACAAATGCATATGTTGGATGATGGTAAATCGGATGACAAAAGAAAAATATATTATAAGATATAAATATTTAACGTGGTTCCGTCAATTGACCTATATCTACAAGCGACTATGAGCAACTCACTATAAAAGATACTTCCCCGGTTTCAATTTATATGAACCTATTTGACTAGGCACGGAGTTTAAGGGAAAAAAGAAGATTTTTAAAACATGTGATCATAAACAAGCCATAATATTTGTATGGATATATATATTTTTTAAAACGCGGTAGTCATGCCATAGTATTTGTATAGCTCTAAATACCTTTCTTTAAGGGTATAAAGAAAAGTTTAAGTCATTGTTTTCAAATTTAGAAATGGTTCATTTTTTTTTATTGGAACGAAAGAAAATAGATAGTTCACCTAAATTAGAACAACGGAAATAATAAAAATATCGAAAGAATAACTTCACAAAACTTATAACACGTGCGTCATAAATTCTTTCTTCTTAAATAAGACTCTCAAAACCCTTAAAGCTACATTGTAGAAGCTACCAAGTGAAAAGGACGGAAGCTCAATCTGTAGAGACCAAGTACATTGATTTGCCATTTTAAGTCTTTCCAGGTTAATTGGGTAAGAAAATATTATCTCCTAAGATTATGGCACCAAATCAAATTACTTACATAGCATTAACTCGCTAGGCAAAAAATGTGAACTTTTAGTGATTAATGGGACCCGAAATAAATTGATATTTTATCAAATTAAATTAATTTATATGCCATTAAAATTGGTTAGCCAAAAAATATAAAGTTTCAGGGAATAGTGGGACACAAAGTACATTTTGCCAAATCAAGTTACTTTACATTGCATTAAAATTGGTTAGGCAAAAAAGGCAAATTTTTAATGATTAATGGGACACGAAGTACATTTATATTTGGTCATATCAATTTATAACTTACATGCATTGAAATTTGTTTGGCAAAACATACGAATTTTTAGTGGTTAATGGAATACGAAGTACATTGATATTTTGTCCAAAGCAAATTACTTTATATGGCATTAAAACTGGTTAGACAAAAAATGCAAAATTTTACGTAGTGATTAACGGAACACCGATATTTTGTCAAATCAAGTTAGTACTTTATATGGCGTTAAAATTGGTTTGGTGGAAAAAAAATCATGATTAACGGGACACGAAGTACTAGTTTGGTGTGAAATATGAATTTTTAGTGATTAATGGGACAGGTAGTACAATAGGATTTTGTCAAATTAAATTACATTAATTAATGGGCACGAAGTACATTGGTATTTTGTCAGATCAAAAAGCATAAGGAGGATGTATTTTAATGATATATATGAATAGCCTTATCTTTTTTCTTTTGTGCTTAAAAATGTGAATAAGGGGCTCTCTTCCTTTAATTTCCAAGCACCTTATGGGGTCGTTTGGTTGGAATATGATTTATACCGGTATAAGTTATGTCGGTATAAGTTATATTGGAATAAGTTATGTTGGGATTAGTTATGCTGGGATTATTATTTATTCATTGTTTGGTATGTTGTATTAAGAATGACAATTGCATAATTTCTAAGAAGAAGGTATACGTTATACCGGTGCTAATTACCCCACCTTCTATAACGTATAAGTTATCCCAGTGTTAAAATTAACACCGGAATAACTTATACCTGATTTGCTAACCTAATAGAGTATTAAAGTGGTATTAAATTTTTGTATCACCCTTTTACCTTCTTATACCTCATACCAAACGACCACAATGTGTATAATCTATAGATTAGTAGAGCTAAGACTTTGCCGAAGGCTATAATCGGTAAAGCAGTGGGCGTGTCTATTAATACCACTGCCTAATCTTATCTCTGTCCTCTTCTCTTCTGTATATGTTCTCTACAAATTAATACCACTGCCTAATCTTGGGACCAAATTGGTCTTGGCTTGCTTTCTATGGCAGGGCGTAATGCAATAATAGCCACTTTTAAGTCTGCTATTTAAAATATATCTATATTTTACAATATATTTAAAAATTAGGCAATTCATCCAAACTTCAGGACTAAGTATCCTGAATTTGAAAATTCAGGACTTAGTGTCCTGAATTTTTGAGCTGCTAATTTGAAATTCAGGATTAAGTATCCTGAATTTTTGAACTACTAATTTAAAATTCAGGACATAAGATTCGAACTTCTGAACACCATTTTCGAACTTTAGGACACGATGTCCTGAAGTTTGAACTTTGAGGTTTAAACTCTAGGATGCCGTGTCTTGAAATTTGAGCGAAATTGACTAATCTTTAAATAAAGATAATTTTATCCATTGTCATTGAACTTTTGTGTTTGTCACCCAAAAGTTACTTTTCTTTTTTTAGTTACGTAAAAATCATTCAACTTCGTGCTCATTACACAAAAGTCACTTTTCTTTCTTTTGTTACACAAAAATAATTTTACTTTGCTCTAGTTATCACGAAAGTCACATTTTTACTTGAAAAGTCTATTATGTCCTTGATATTATATAAACCTTCATATTTATATAATACCTTTTATATTATACACTATATAATATATTTTTAACTATGTATTTTATTTATAAATAAAATAACTTAATATTATTTTATTATTATTCTTATAATATATTCGTCTATTTAATTTTTTCTTAACTTTAATTTTCAAGATATATTAGTAGCGTTAAAAAACTACATTTTTTCAGCAATTCTTTTTTTTTGAATTTAATTGACTGACCAAAGTTGGTTGGTAATTTTCGACCAACTTTGGTCAGTATGCCCTTCCGACCTTCAAAATACCGGCCACACATTAATAGTCGCGTTTTGGATGGTTATTGTCCATTACCGACCAANGGCTATTAGCTCAGTGGTTACCGACCTAACTTCTACTACAACATTAAGCATATATAGCTACAAAGTATATCGTAGCTAAATATGAAAATTTCCGTAGCTAAACACTTTAGCTACAATAATTTTTTCCGTAGCATGCATAGCAAAATGTAGCGTAGCTAAAAGTTAGCTACAAACTTTAATATTTCATGGCTAAGGATTAATACATATTGCTACAAGAATTTTTATGATGTGGCTATATTGATAAAAATTTTGCCACGAAAAATCTATACCTGTAGCTAATTAATTTATTCTTTTGCTACAACAAACCAACTTTGTAGCTATCCTTTGTACTTTAGCCACAAAGGGATACATTATGGCAAAAGGTGAAATTTATTTTGCCACAAAAATTTTGACAAGTAGCTGTGTTCACATATTAGCCACGTAGTGTAGTTTTTATGTTTAGCTTCAAATTCATTATTTTGTAGCTACAAATGGTCAACAATATCCATGATTAAATTTTTTTTTATTATATTTTATTTTCTAACTAAATTTTTATTTACATTTTAAATTAGTGATGAAAAATTAATTTATAGTGACAATAAATGCTTCTGTCACAAATGCATTGCTATAGCCTTTTTTTTTACCCCAATATTTTTAAAATTTTCAAATATTCCATATCCATGCATATCTTATTTTATGAAAATTAGAAACATAATAAGCTCGGAATATCAATTACTTCATACAAACTGACATATCAATAATTCCAAAAGTTAATTCTAAAATATACAATTATATATCTAAAGTTCATGCATCCTCAATATACATACAACTCTTCTACAAGAGAAATAATAAAGTTTATAGAATAAAAACTAGCTATTGGGAGGCTAAACAATAAGATGAACTCAAATTTAAATACTTGTCAAACTAAAATAATACAAACTATGTACATTGGGTTAGATATTTTTTCTTTATCTATAAAATTCTAAGGGTTCCGCATCAAAAAAAAAATCTAAGTATTTGATTTGGGGATTCAAGACGTCGCCACCCGATTGCATTCAAGGAAGAAATAGCTTCAAATCTTGCATTCAAGAATTTAGATGCCCCCTGTAAATTCAAAAGAAACAACAATTAGCACAAAAAGGATGAGCAAACCCAAGAAAAACTATAATACAAAGATGCAAGTTTAATTTGTAAAAATATTAATAAAATTTCACGAAAAAAAAATTATGTCTTGATAATTCTTCTACATGAATTTTTAACAAATAACAAATTGTAAATACTCAAAGTAACAGCACAAGTACACAAACCTGTAAACTTTTTGGAAAACTTCTTAAAGGATCTTCATCCCAACATTATATCCTTGTAATTTTCAAGTTCCCTCGCAATATTTATATATAAAATATAAGACACAATATTTATCAAATTGTTGGAACCCGTAAAAGTTAACCCAGAATCTAAGTCACATAAAAATAAGAAGATTTAAAAACCTTAAAATATAGAGATATGAATATAATCGGGAAGAAAGAAGGCACCGATATGACAACGGTTGAAGAAGAAAATGAGAAAGCGGGGGAGGGAGTGGCGGCTGAGAGGGAGAGGATTTGAGGTTGAAGTTAGGTTTTGGTTTGACTTTGTCGTTGTTTTACTTTTTCTTATATACTAGTATACTTACCCGCGCGATGCGCGAATCGGTTAAAAGAAAACAAAAAAGGTGGAGAGAGATATTGGAAACAGATGTTAATTGCAGACTAATTTTATAGACCACATTAAAAAGAATTAAACCCTAAACAAAAAGATGAATTTCATTTTTATTGTTTGTCTAAATATTTTTCTAGGGACCACCAATCTCCAAGAGCTGTTACAACATACTTGAGTAATGCTACACCAGTACTTAGCTTTAAAAGGATTAGTCCATATGAAAATTCATAAATTTTTGTCTCAAGTACATTAAAGGACATCACATTTGGTTCAAATCTTATTTCACCAAATGAAGCTTAATCAAGGAGCACTAACTCTGTTCTTATCGAATTTGGGTAACATCTTTGCTCTTCTCTCGTCAAGAGAAAGAAACTCACATGCATCGATTGTTAAATCATCATCGAATTCCAGATTTTTTTTATCATGCCAAACACCTCGACCAACCACACGCGTTGGCTGCTCTCTATCAATGCATCTGCAATCCTCTCGATATTTGCAGCAATGACACTCATCATATCAACCAAAGTGTCCTCATTGCACCTCCTCTTAAAGGCTGCTTTGAGCGCAACGATGAAGAATTATTGTCAAAGATGGCATCAACTGATCAAAGTTCTCAATATTTTCGCCCCTCATCAAGTTTACATCAAGATATGGCTAAGAAACAGATAAAAAGTTCACAGTTTAAGTAGGCTAATGTAAATGAAAAAAAAACTTAAGACAAACTTCCATTAGTAATGAGCATTTTTTCAAACACGAATTTATACTCACAAAGAAAAAAATAATATAAGCGAGCAATTACTCTTTGATTTGCTGAATTAAATTTGCATTCTAAATACAGTTTAATGCTCAAAACTAAAGTCATCACATTGAGCTCCTACAGGTAAAACATCAAAGGAAATTTGAATCATTTACAATAATGTATGTCATAGATATCAATTCATTGTAACAGATTCAAGGTATGTAATATTATAAGGCAAGCTGGAAAGGGGAAAGAGAGAGGAATGACAGTAAGGTAAATATGCAAGAATGGATGTAGTAAAGATCATATATTTTTATGGAACGATGATTCACATAAGGCGGCCGCTCTAAGGCCATTATATCGAGAAACAAAAAAAATGAAGTAATAGAGTCTTTCTACCAAAAACACTAATTCTTATATATTAAATATCTTACAGATTTTTGTATCTGGTTTGGGTGTTTATGCTCGAATAGTTGTTGGCAAGGAAGGACCATGATCCATACTGGTGAAATCCTTTGGATATATGAACATATAGTTGAATGATTTTTCTAAAGTTCTTTGGATTCCTTCTGGTCTTCAAAAGAAAATGCCCCAACCAGCATAACATAAAGTGTCACCCTGCATAATCAAACATTAGACAACAAAATGGTAAGAAACAAAATTTAACTTCCTAAGAATATGATTGATAAATAGGTCCACTCTTTAGGCAAAGAAAGGAGTGGGTGTAATAAGAAGATGTAATTACTTATGAAAGTATGGAATCATCACCAATGAATTCAATGGGTCATAGAGTGACCAATTGCAATAGTTTCTTAGCTGCTCATAAGGGGAAAAGAAATAGAAACATTAATTGACACACTGCTTTTTAGGATGAAATTGTAGCACCCATAGCTTTCTCGTTTATCTTTGTCAACTACTTGTGAATCCGGAATTGGTACTCCTGCTTGTACACAAGAATTATATGTAATAAGTTAAATTTGATGATACTAATAAAACATGTAACCTCAATTTGCAAGATGAAAATATAAATAAGTATTTCGGTGTAACAAAACCATCTCTGAAAGACCTTGTTCCTACATATGAAATAAATATCTGATTATGAATTGATATAATATTACACATCCAAATGCAATAAAAATATAGAAAGAAAGTGCAGCAAGCAACTCCAACCAAGCTAGATGAACCTACCCCTGAACAAAGAATATAAGGTTACATAATATGGTAAAAAAAACAGAGTAATTCAGACTTGATAATCACATACATGAACATGAGAGAAGTTATAAGCTTCATTTGGTGAGTTAAGACTCCACTGAAAGCATAATTTGGCAGAATTCAAATTCTGAGCACTTCATAAAAAGATCTTATTTTCTCCACTATTTCGATAAATAATTCCAAAATAAAGGCCTAAAAGTTTAAATGATTCACAAAATATGGTAGGAATAAAAATAACAGAGAGGAAAGAAAGGAAGATTAAAATGGAGAGCTTGAAAAATAGAAAATACGGTAGGAATAGCAGTGCAGTCTTAGTTATAATGTATGATCTTTTATTTAAAGAAATAAAAACAAACTAAATGACTCATGCTTGTAATGCATGAATAAGTAGTTTTATCAGAAGTGTCTTTGTCCTCTCTCATTCTACCTTCGACAATGGAGCACGTTTTTTTTTCTTTCCAAACCTCAACATACTTTGTGAGAAATTTGTTGTGAAAAGGTTAGACATGTTTGTAAGTTGATTGCTAGTATATCTAAAACATGAGAATTTAGTAGCTCAAAACAAATTAAAATAAAAAAATGTTAATGTCAATGAGATAACTGGAAACCATACCAATAAAAGATTTCGACTATTGTTCTAAAGCTTATTTCCGATATGGTTTAACAAAGACGGGATCATGAGTAGCACATAAATTCTAAAACTTCATTATTAAATACCATAGTATATGGAACTTGCAATATAGTAATATATCAAAATATAAAATTTACAAAATAATATTAAGGTATGTAAAGAAATAAACTTTAGCACTATTTGTTAAAATAAATAAAATATAATGTATAATGAAGACAAACTTTCCGCAGAGGATTTACATCATTTGTGTAATGTGCAAGTACAACACGTATGGTGCAAGGACAGGAAAAGGTGGGAGCAACCTATCCAGATTTGCAACTTAAAAAACAGAGAAGCAAAAAGAATTAGTAAGACAGAAAAATTGAATTTTAAAACCTTTTCATCTTGTAGAACCAATTCAATCGAGAAAGTAGTGTCTGAATTGTAACGATCACTCTGCACAGACGAACAACCCGAACTTTCAACTTTCATTGCATTTTCGAATTTGCAGAATCCCTATGTTTTGTTGAGTTTTTGTGTATATGTAACGACCCGACCGGTTGTTTTGAGTCTTAGCGCTCCGTTCAGCAGTCGGAGGCTATGAACAACTTCATTTCAGGTATTATGACTTGTACGCGTGGTCGGAATTAAGTTCCGGGAAGTTCAGAGTTGATTTAGAAAGAGAATTCTCATTTGAGAAGCTTAAAGTTGAAAGAATGAACTAGGAATGGATTTAAAGTTGAAAGAAGCGGGATTATTTCCGCAGAAGCGAAAATCCCTGGAGGCAGAAGGTTAATTTAAAGTCGGGGATTGGCCATTTCTCTCATATTTCTCATGGCTTGGGGCGATTTTGGAGAGCTTCAATGAGGGGATTTTCGTCGTCAATGTCAAGGTAAGTTATCCCCATCACTTTTGTGTTAAATATATCAATTATGTATGGATTTAAGTATGAAGGTTAGTGTAAATTTGGGGTTTTGGTTGAAAACCTAGGAAATTAGAAATCTTGGATTTTGATTACGATTTTGAGTATGGAATTAAGAGAAAATTATATATTCGAGTTCCTAAGGTTATGGGTAAACTTTATCTTCGAAAAGTTTTGGATTTCGGGCACGTGCGCCCGAGGGCGTTTTGGTCAACTTTCCAATCGGGGTTAGGAATTGCTATAAATTAGTTGTAATGAATATTTGAGCATATATTAATGGATTTTCGTAACCATTGGCTAGTCTTGGAGCGTGGTGCATCAATTGGAGTCCTCGGAAGAGTGTAGAATGCCGGTTTTGAGTCTTCGGAGTGAGGTGAGTCTCCGTTCTAATCTTGTGAGGGGGAATTTACCCCGATACGGTGAAGTAATTGATTATTGTGCTCCTATTTGTGAGGGCTACGTACGCACGAGGTGACGAGAGTCCGTGCGTAACTACTATTATGCTATTGTCCGGGTAGTTAGGACCCAAAAGCATGTTGCACTTGAATTAATTTGTGAACCCATTGGTAGCTCGAATTGTTTAACTCACATCGAATTAGTAAGTAAATTTCTAAAAGGATTAAACTTCATTTCTTAAATTGTTAAAGGAGAATTGGTTTTATTTGAGTAATTATTCCCCGATAAGTTCTTATTTGACTGATTGAGCATGTTTTTTATGTGTGCCTACGTCGCATGGATGATTCGCGAGCAGGATATGTGTTTATTTATGGAACGGGCCGAACGCCTCGGTGAGAATAGATGCATCTATGGTTCGTGCCGTTCGACCCTCGGCAGTGCACAATTTACATTTCTGTTGGAGCGGGCCGTCGACCTCGGCATGATTTGCGCGTGTTTATATGTTACTTGAAAATTTTAAATGTGGAATTTGCCCTACGTGGCTTGATATAAAACTGCTAAGATGATAAAGAACAAACTTTAGAAGCCCTGGATTTATTGTTGAAGGTGTTTAACCTATTTTTTTCTAGCTTCACAATCAGAACTTCTATACAAATTCATGATTTTCCTCGCACTTATAGAACATTGCTAATTGACCTCTAGTGAGTGTCGGAGTTGGCCATCTCGTCTCTACCCCTTCGGGATTAGGCGGGATACTCACTGAGTACACGTTGATTACGTATTCATACTACACTTCTGTGCATTTTTTGTTCACAGGTATATATACCTCTAGCAGCCTATTGGGCGTAGCAGCACGGACGACTCTGGGACTAGGTGAGCTGCATTGTTCGAGACGACCCGCAGCCAGTGTAGTTCCTTTCAGCATTTTTTTTATTCCCTGTCCACTGTATTTCGGACAGATGTTGTATTTTACTTTCCTTATCGATAGTTGCTCATGTACTTGTGACACCGGGTTTCTAAGATGGGTTTCAATGGATTTGTACT